AACTTTGTTTATTATCTCTCATAAACAGATTATTTATTTAGAACATTGTCACAGAAATAATCCACATAAATAAAACAAAATTAATTTGTAACTTTTGCACAGAGCAGTCTGATCTGTTATTTAACTACCTCTTCATTGGGAGAGCATGTAATACACAATCAGTTGAGTATGGAGACCTACAATGGCATCAGAATACTCCAACTCTGCTTTTCTTGTGAAATGAGGAGGTACTGCTCTAGGATTGGAATCCCCAGAACAAGAGTTGCTATTTTTTTTCTGTATTATGCTTAAAGAATAAAGTTGAAGAGGAAAACCTATTGCAAAGGTTGTGGAATTATACACTGATCCAAGGCAAATTGCATAGATACATATATCCTTGATGGAAGTGCCAATACCTGGGTAAATATTTCCATTATTTTTTATGGGTACTAAGATAATATCAAATAAATGGCATAAAGATAAAAAAAAATAAAATCAACAGTGACTAACTTTGTGATATAAACAATAAACTAAGATAAATGATAACTTATCATTTGCACAGAGAAAATATACACCATATCTGTTTTTTTTTTAACTTGATGATATATAAAATAAGCAGTATTTTATACAGTTTAAAGAAAATAGACATACACATGCACAATCTTCCAGCAACTGATGGTTCAGTACCTATTTTAATCTAAACAAGATTACAAGTAAGCATTTGAATTTCAGACAGTTGTTAATATGATTTACATTTAATATTACTTTAGTATATAAGTAAGCAAAAATGCTCAATGTATAACAACAAATTTCATTAAAAATTTATATAATAATATATATATATATATATATATATATATATATATATATATATATATATATTTTTTATTGAATCAACAATTTTTTAATATATTTATTGATTTAATTTTTTTTATATAGTTTTCCAAATTTTGACTCAAGGTTTGTTGTCAGGATTAAAAATGTTAAACTGACCAAAGAAACCCCCAACATTAAATAAAATCTTTCTCCATATGAGATTGTGTAGTAAAAAATGAATGGGAGCATGTTTAATTTCACTGTTGTAGATGACATCACCTTTAACTGACTTCTGTATAAATAAATGCAAATGTCAGTGTGTCACACTTTTTCAACTTTACGCCTAGAGACTGTAGCCCAACATATCATACCATTTTGAAATGAGGCCAACTCCACGAGCAAATTAAAACTATTCTGGGCTGGATCTGGGCCTGCAATCCTGAAATTTTGGATTCCCAAGTTTTCATTACTGTGATTGTTTTCAGCAATTTTTTTTTTTTTTTTTTTTTTTTTTTTTTTTTGAACAAATTTTTTGTACAATAAAAATTTTACAACTTGGAAAAAATTTGGGAATAATTGGAATTAATTGCAAAATCCAGCAAAAGTCACCCATGAAATAAAATAATTGTTTGTATTGAAAATAAGAACCTACATACATCAGATTGTCTTTAAATTAAGTGGCGGCAGAAGAATTATTGTTGAACTTTTAAAAGGTAAGCTTAAATACTAATGTAATACTTAAATGAAGCAATCAATTTTGAGTTCTTCTGTAGTTTATTGTTGACTATCGCATAGAGTAGCAGTATGCCATGCAAAAAGAGATCACCACCAACAGAGGACCAGATTGCAATCAAAAGAGTGGGGGGGGGAATGTTCTGTGCAAATGGATAAAACAGCAGCCAAGAGAGTTTCCAATGCTGAGAATATACAAAGACTTAAGGCCTCTCAAACTCCTGAAGAAGCTGAAGGCCCAATCAAGAGCCTTCTGCAGGAGCTAGATTAAATGCTGCCTGATAGGGTGGCTTTTAAGGTAGTAAGCTATAATTCCAGCAATATAAAAATGTTAGAACTTGTCAAACACATTTTGCTAAACATACTGATCACTAGCCATTCTTGATAATGACTGTAGTGACAATTGAAAGTACTTGAATATATAAGAACTTTGAACATTTTTAATCTATTTGATGTAAAATACTTCAGCTGTAAAAACTGTATAAAATGTTAAACCTTTTCAGTGTTATTAAAACTTGTTTGGATGAATTCTTGATGCCTAAATACAATTATATATATATATATATATATATGCATCAGGAATTCATTCATATATATATGATGCATCAGGAATTCATTCACACATATATATATATATATATATGCATCAGGAATTCATTCATATATATATATATATATGCATCAGGAATTCATTCATATATATATATATGCATCAGGAATTTTCATATATATATATATATATATGCATCAGAAATTCATTCATATATATATATATATATATATATGCATCATTTTATTTTCATATATATATATATATATGCATCAGGAATTCATTCATATATATAAATAAAAGGCTAAGGTGATTAGTGGTGGTATGAGCAAAGTGAATGGATAAGACATTCTACAACCATGTGTCTGAGCAACAAAAAATACAAAGTTAACACCATTCTTTCTGCTTGCTATTGGGATGTCACTAGCAGCAAAAGGAATGCACCATCTATCACATGGAAAATACTAGCTAAAGCCAGACCCTATGACAGAGTTGAAGAATGTTGCTGTTTGTACCTAAGTAAAAAATTACTAATCCTACAATGAATGGGTGACCAACTGTTAAATAAAAGAAATGTGTTTATGGCCAAATATTGACATAAGAATAAGTACTTAATTGAAAACATACAACCGGGGTAGTAGATATTTCCCACCTCTGTATTATATAAATCATATTATAGCTGTTGGTTTCAGATTGTATTCTCCTGATTGTTATTGCATGAAACAATAATATTGAATTAATATTATTATAGTATATTTTTATATACACACACACACACACATATAGTCATCCACAAACTGTCTCACTGTATCACAGCTCTTCAGTGTGGCTAGACACATGATTGCTTCAAGCCAGGATCGAAACTCAACTGATTTGACTTCAATCAGGGACTCTTACCTCTAGACTATTGGCACACACTACAGAGAAAGGGAATTTTTAATGCATTATATATGTGATATAAGCATTATCAGTTGCCAGAGTGTTCTATGCATTTTTTTATATATCAAGAACAATTTTAAGGGAAAGAAGTTTGACAAAGTGGAAAATGTTTACATGTGACATGTTTCATCCTTTAGGCCTTTATCAGATGGGAGATTATATATATATATATATATACTTACACATAATATATTTCTTTCTCAGGTTTTATCAATACAGTTTTCATGATAATGTAATGTAACTGAGCTATTAAGTATATATTAGTGAATATACATAATATCCAATGTCAATAGCATGACTTGGAGTTTTATGCAACCTTCAGGTGCTGGCTGAAGATTGCAAGTTTGCATGAAACTCCAAGTCATGCTATCAATGTTGGATATTATATATATATACACTATAATTTTATATATATATGTGTGTGTGTAATTGTATAAATTTTGCTCTAAACCTTGGTCTGCTTTACTTCCTCCAATAAATATTCTGATGTTTGCTCATTAAAATACTAATTTTGTCAGGCCAGTAACTTTTCAGCATCTTCTCACATATATAGAGTCTAGCAGTAAAGAATTAAGTATATATTTCAAATAGGTAAGAACATTAAAAAGTAAAGATAATTTTTTATTGGAACATGAACTAATTCCATATTTTATTGGAACATATTGTATCCCTTTGTGTTCCTGAAGTTATTACAACATTTCAAGTAATTCATATTTCAGCCTTCCTCAGGTGTAGAATGTAAACAAAATTTTGAACCTTAATGATTCTTCTTAAACTTCTAGGCAGTGTATACTGATATCGTTCAATAAATTGGACTTCTAATAATGAAATGATAATTTGGATTTATGGATAATTTCCAAACTTTCAAAAATTGTATCCCTATCATTTTCAAGCCCTGAAAATTAAGCCTAAAAATATAATAGAAAAAATTTACTTTGGCAAACTTGGACTGTTATGCCTGCAAAAAAAATGGAGTGTCAAAAGAACAGTTTTTCCCTTGACACCACTATTATTTTAATTACTTTCCATCCTGGACAATGTTGTTTTAAAAAGCAATAAGAATCATATTAAAGCCTGAACATATGATGAAAGTAAATTTATTCATTTATTTTTTGTTCTTGAGAATTTACAACAAAAATATTAAATACTATTTATTTATTAGATTTTTTATTTACAAAAATAATTTTATATTAACAACATTCTAAAAACTAATACAATTAAAACTAATGCAATATTTATCATTTTTCCAATTTATAAAGAAATAGATATGAAAACAATTTTTTATTTATAAGCACTAACTTATTAAAATATGGGAACCAACTATAAGGAAATCATTATTTACCATTTTATAAAGTTTGAATCAATTGGCAATTATCCAATGTTTTACCAACCATTCCAAGAAACAATCTAATAAATAAATAATAAATAATCTAATAAATGGTGTTTATTATTTTTGTTGTCAATTCTCAAGGACAAAGAAAATGTATAAATTCACTTTCATATGTTTAAGTTTTATTACAATTCTAATCATTGCTTTTTTTAAAGAATAAACATTAGCAAGGAGTGAAGGTAGTCAAAATAATAGAGATTTCAATGGAAAATCTTTCCTTTTAATAGTTTTTTTTTTTTTTTTTTTTTTTGCAGGCACAAACATCCAAGTTTGCCTTGACTTTTATATGAGTATATATGATACTTAAAACAAATAGAAATGTTTTGTTTTTTTTTTTTTTTTTAAATCAATTTTTACAAAATAATTATTTGAATTTTGCAGGTTAAAAATTGCCAATAAATAAGCGCTGCTTTAACATTCAAGATATTGTGCTTTTCATTTCAGGCCAATTGTGAAGCCGATGAAGTCCCAGTATTTAACATAGAACCACTGTGGCAAAATGTTCGTGGACCTGCATCTCTTGTGGAATTGGCTGTTGATCAGAAGGCTACAAATTATGGCCTCTTACTGCACCATTTCCAGCTGTGTTGGCTCATGCATGCCATTTTGATGTATGGGCTTAAATCGATCAAAGTCCTTTCCTTATTTGACTGCAAGGTTTGTTATTAAATAATCATATCATTTGCTAAGTTTAACACAAGATCAAATGAAGGAAAATGAGTTGAAAGCAAGGATGGTCAATTTATAACACTTGAGCTGAAAGTTGCACATTGCATGATGTGGTGCAGGATTTTTGCTAATCGGTTTAATATTGACATTAATTCATTGGGAATATTTTTTGTGCTTTCTTGAAAATTTTCTTTTCTAAATTCTCAATACAAAAGAGAATGAAGGAGTTGACATAAAATGGGAATTTAATGAACAAATGAGAAAATTACACACTTGCATTTGTAAACCCATTTTTGGTTAGTGAATAAAAAAAGTCATGAAGCTGCCTAGTAACATACAAATGGAACTTGTTGACTTGAGAACAAATTTGTTACTGAAAATGAAATTGATGAGATTTTCTCAATTCCAGACAAAATGACATTATTAATTTTAGTGGAGCAGATAAATGTATATTTTGTGGGTAGAATCCTTCAGTTGATGATACAAGCATGAAATTTGGTAATTTTTATTTCTGTAATTCATTTTTTAAGAAAATATAATGCTAACCATGAAAAATGTCAAAATGGTGGACATTTTTTCAAGATGGCCACCAGTGTATGTTAAAACATGTATAAATCATAAAAATCATTTTTTTTTCTATTTTTTTTCTCCATCTTGGTGTCCCCTTATTGATATGTGTAACTTATTTAGCTTATTTTTCAATACATGGAAGTGGTGGTAATGCTAATATTATCCATTTCCCTACAAGGAAATATTTGGCATTCATCGATTCAGCAGCCAGCCAACATCTTGATTATGTCATTATTTTCTCTTTGAGTTACATGTGCTATCCATTTTAGTTGTTGCTGTTGGTAGTCCTCAAATGATAGCAGAACAAGCAACTAATGCCTCCAGTGTTTTTTTTTAAATGTCTCTTTTGTGTTCATATAATGTTTTATTTAAACTTGAGGTTTCTCAAATATATTTTTTCTGGCAATCCTTGCAGATGATAGATTAAATTCCTCCTTCAAGTTTTAGCTCATTTTGTTTGGTATTAAGTCTTTGATCAGCAAAACATTACTCATATGTTACTGCCTTTCTGCAACTTAAAGTTTCATTTGAACAATTAGATAGTACGAGTGACAAGATAATTCCTTTAGGGTGGCTTGTTGTATATATTACACAACAAAGGAAGCAGGCAGAATTGGGTTAGAAAAAAATTGTGTGAGATATACCATAAAATGCATACTATCTCTGGAGATGTGTATGTATGTGTCTTGGGAAAGAGGCAGGTTTACCCCACCCCAACATTCTTCATTACAAATTTATTGATATACCTGCAGGTGACTATGAGTTCTTGTCTCTTATTTAACATTCTATCATCTGCAAACTTTGGTACTTGATGCTTATTAACCAAAATCCATGCCCCTGTAAAACAGAAATTTTTATAAGGAAATGTAATTTTAAACGTTTCATTCAATGGAGTTTTTCTTTTCAGGGTCAGAATTCTTTTTTTAAAGATTTGCATTCCCATCCTGCTCTACCAACAAAAATCAAAGATGCCACAATTCTATCTGAAAGACTAAAGGTAACATATTCTTTTGTTATTTTCTATTGAAATCATTTTTTAACTTATTAAGTTGTTATATAAATTAATTCATTTTCTTTTGCAATTTATTTTAATACATATTATTTATTAATATTTCTGATGAATCATTCAACAATGTATTCCCTTTCATTGTTTACGACCTCCAGCCAATGATCCACTAACTCTTCAATGCCTCAACAACAGAAAACACTAAGTTTTGACACAAAATTTCATCAAGCCATGTTTTAAGCTCCAGATCAATGTTGAACAAAACAATCCTCAAACTGTTAGAAAGTGACCCAAAAAAAAGGTGGTGCTTTAACCAACTCAGCCACAAAGAATCTTTGTTTGATCAAATATATCAGACATAACAACATTTCCCCCTACTCAGGGGGACACAGGTTCAAATCCTGCTGGAGAGTGCATGTTTCTCTTTAATAAGATTTCTCAAATATTCGAACCAGTAGACAAAAATGAATATAGTTTAATAAATAAACCGACCATCTACTCAAAAATGAGTATCCACTAAAAATAATGTTTAAAGTGATGAAATCTGTCAAATTAATAAATAAAATATTCATTACTTATATATTAAAACCCTTGTTTTTTGTCATATAGGAAAAATCCAACATGGCGCTTTTCAACGAAATATTTGGCAAAAAAACAATTTTCAGTAACATTTTAAACACCTCATAGAATGTAAAGTTCTTAAAGAAAACCTATGCCAAACTGTTTTCCTGAATCCTTGATGACTTAGCTGTCCGAAAATGATAATATCAAGATGAAATAATGGAAATTGATTGTGAAAAATACAATTATGCGCAACAAGTTTTCAATCAATTAGTAAACTTCTGGACCCTTTTAGGGCGACTTTATAGGATCCAGACGGCTATTGTTTACACATGGAAACGGCTAAATGGGCCGGCGATGGGAAATACAAAAGATAAGCGGCGAAAAAAACAATGTCGTCTGCTAAGTGTTGTTGTCATCACCCGGGTCGCGGGGTGTTAAAAACAAAACAAAACTCATCAAGCCATTGTTGAAACATAGGTTATATCAAGCCCTAGTAATGGTGAACCCTTTTTTTTTCACTTTTTGCTTTTATCTAGGAGTGGTGGATTTTATTACAACTTGTTCTAAGGTTTGCTGTTTATTGCTGGCTGGCTGACCTTTGACCTAGACGTCAAAGTCAATTAGGTTTAATTTTCCTTATCGCTATTTTTTGGAAAAAAAAACTTTTGGTTTCTGGTGGTTAGGAATTGCAAATAAATCTTTTGCCTTTTACTAAAGATTTCCGTGGTTGGGTGTCAATTTTTTTTAACCCTTGGCAGTCATATAATTGAAAATTAACAATGGATTTTGTCCCATTTTGAACCCCTAGGAATGTTGATTTCCTTCAAAACTCTCAATTTTATGCCTGAAATAGTTTGATTATGATTTAGGCTTTCTTATTTTCAAAAAAAAAAAAAAAAAAAATGGTTAATTTCCCATTAATGGGAGAAATATTTGTTTAGAACAAGAAAAAAATGCAAAATTTTCACTATTTTTTCACATTTTACCCACTGAAAAAACAGTCATTTACACCAGCTAATTTTACTTTTAAATGAAAGAATATATCATTTGCTTTCAGAAAATACCTAGTTTCATGGGGTTCAGATCAAGTTTCCTCGATATTAGTTTAGGTGATGATAAAACAGTCATTTTTCAATATTTTACTCCTATAAAAGTATGAAAATCCATTTTTTGAGAGAAAATAAGCTGTGACAAAATGACTTTTGCCATTTTTGTGATGATTTTCACTTGGGAAAGAAAATTTTTACCATAAGGAAACCTGAATTGACTTTATTTAAGTTCAGTGGGGCTATAGGAAACCTCAAACAGCTGTGATATATATATATATATATATATATATATATATATATATATATATATATATATATATAGTGTATTTGGGTAGTAATTCCTTTTTATACAAGTTTCATTGAAGATAACTGACAAGGCACTTTTATAGACAGAAAAGAAAATGTAAAAATGCAACAAAAATTTAATAAAAAGATTAATTGCAGTCCCATATCAACCATCTTCAATTAAACTTATATACACACAACAAAGAAAGAGAAGAAAGAGATTCAAGTTGCTATATATTTTGGAAACGAAAATATATGCCAATGTTTTACTTTTTCTTTTTAATCTTAAATTAAAAAATGTAACTGATGGTTATAGATGCTTCTTCTATATACTAAGCATCATTTGATGCTTTACCATACCTCTTTGTTCTCATCCATTTACACAAACTTGTCACATATGTTACTTGCTGCTTCCCTCTGTTCTGTTGCCTTTAAATTATGTCCTTTGAGTGTTAAACTCTTCAAGCTCTCTTTTCTCATTATACATCCAAGAATCAGTAAATGCCAAGCACAAGCTAACTAATAGTGTCATAACAAAAATTGCCAACCATGACTTAATTTGCAATTAGTTGTCAATGAGTTGAGACCAGAAAGTATATTTCTTAAATTTGTCTGAATTTTTGATTCTATCAAGATTGAAATTTTTTTTTTTTTTGCAAGATTTAACAAGATATTTCCCCTATAAATATTTTATATTTTCACTATGTTGTTTTGTAGAAACTTCCACATTACATCTAAAGACAATTTTTTCTTATAATTTTCTGTTATATTTGTTTTCTTGTAGCTTTATAAACGAATAATTAGTCATTATGTAGAAGATTATGCCAAGAAAGATGAAAAAACTCATCCTTCCAATTCAACACAACTGACCTTTATGCCCTGGGATGAGAGGAATTCTGTATGGCCAGCCTTGAAAAGTGAAATTGCTCGAATATTTGATGATGTTATTGACCAGTTGCATATTTTCCATATCCAGGAGCTTTATGCAAGAGGATTAGATAAAACTGCTGAAGAGGTAAGTTCTGACCCCTAATCAGTTTGTGTGTGTGTGATCAAAATAAGAAGGGCAGCCCTCTAATAATTCATAGAATAAGGAAAATACTTCATCATAGAACAGCAGACAATATGAGGTAAAACAAAAACTGTCAGTAAAAAATGTAGTAATCAAAATAACAAAAATGAGGATACTAATTTTTGGTATAGTGACAACACTTTATCACAGAAATGAAACAGTCTGTTCTGATATTGTCCAAACTATTTTGAACTTTAAAAACTGCCCTTCTTTTCCAAAACTATTGTTTGGAAAGTAATATTTGAGATATACAAATTTGGAAACAGTCACACTTCAATCAGAAATTGTATCTTTGATTTAATTTAACAACTGTTCAATCAAGATATGCATCATTTATAGTCTATAGTAATATTTAATATGACATTCACCATATGATATAGTGGATGGTAGCCTAGACATACAGGCTGAGGTGTAATAGTAATTGAAAAATAGATTGGTTGATACATTTTCTACAGCTTATCAACCCATTGCAGGTTATTTAAAGCTAGAAACTATTTTTAGATTGAAAAAAAAAGTTGTTTTTTTTTGGGGGGGGGTTCTTAGATAATATTGATTTAGTGATACAAGGTCTTGCTAATAGCTGGAAGGAGATGAGATGGATTCATACCTTTCCCAAGACTATTTGTGTATGAGTGAATATAATGAACCCAACTGGAATTGAAATACAGCTCTCCAATTAACAATTTCAAGCCATTATCCATTACACCACCTGCATATACAAGCTTACAGCACCTGGTATTCCCAAGTAGTCACCCATCTAGGTACTGACCTGCATCAACATTGCTTAACTTCAGTGATCATATGGGAACTGGTGTTTGTTTCAATGTGATATGGCTGTAAGCCCCTTGACAAATAGTTAAATGTACAAATGGCTACATTTATGCTATAAAACAAAGGAAAAATGTGAAAAAACATTTGCCTTTAATGATTATTGGAATTAAATGTAGAAAAAGAATTAAGAGATTTAATTAGTTTTGAAAAATAGGTTGAGAGGTCCTTAAGGGATTGAAGTTGAATATTAACTTAGGGATAACTTTCTATAAGTGGGTACATCCCTGTACTCACCTGCTAATTTCACCAAGCCAGGTGAAAATGATGACAAGTAATAAATTACTTCTTCAACCAAAATCAAAAATTATCCTTAAAACACCCTGAGATGAAGTTGTTTGCATAAAGACTAATTCTTCAGATTGGTATGGTTTCAAAAGTAGAATAAATTCAGAGAAAATGCCTTTCTGAAAAATCAGCCAAAGCCAACCAATGGCTATGTGGTTTGTTTACATAAAAACATATTCACTGGTAGTCTTATAGTAAAAATTACAGTTTGCCAACCATTGCCACTTAGCGGATAGGGAAATTGTCTCATCCTTACTCCTATGACATCCTTCTGAAAGTGTCTTCTCATGAAAATTTACTTTCCCAGACACCATTGCTCGGGACTCGGGGTTGGACATTGGGAATCTGGGAACAGTTATACAGGACCGACCAGTGTGGAAAGGGACTGTCAATGAAGTCCTGACCAACCATAGGGAGGTCGAAGGATGATGATGATGATGATAGTAAAAATAGTTTTTGGGAAGTAAGTTATCAGGGCTTGATCAAGTGGCTAGCTGGCCATGTGCTTTCTGGAACAATAAACACCTTTAGAGAACATAATGGTCAAATTGTACTCTATATCACTGGTGACAAGTGACAGATTGAATTCTATATATAGTTGTAGAGCACAGTTTAGTTTTGCTGAGGACACAAGGGAGAAAAACACATGGGAGAAAGAAACAAGAAAGGTTGATCATAGCAACAATCAGAAGAACAGACTACCACATTATCACCTACAACTTTTGAAGAATGGGTGAATGAACAGATACATAAATTAAGTATTAGAATTGGGGAAAGAAAGATGCTAGTTTGAAACCTTTATGTCACTAACAACTAAAATAAAGTACATTTTATTAAAAATGTTAAGATATTCCAGTCTTGATCATTATTCTAAGACTTCAACCAATCTCAGGAATTGGTCAACTTTAGATTTGTGTAACATGTGACTGACTTGCACTTTTGATGTTTCAACCCTAAGCTAGGAAGTTTTTCAGGTTTTATTTAAATAAAATCTGAGTCTTCTATTCAAGATGTTGCTGGACCAGTGACCAGAACAGTGAGCCTGTCTCCAGTGTGCCATGACCAAGGATTCTTGAACCTGAGATTATCATGAAAAATGCACAGTATATTACCCAACAACCATTGCTTTCTTTATAGGTCTCATAAAGGTAGCAATGCAGTACAGGTAATGAAGAATATTTGTGCTGTATACTCAGGTGTGGTGAATGCACATAAATGCCAACAGTGGTTGAACAATTTTAAAATAACTGCAATCTTTCTAATAAGGTTTGTTTTAGAAGATCAATTATTTTGCATAATGATCTTTTGGGAGCAGCTTTTTGTCTCAGAAGTAGGGATTTAGAAATTTCAACTCTTTCAGATTCTGAGTGAAGTGTTCTTTTTGTTACCATTTTCTTAAAGTTTTCCTTGTTGCTTACTCTCTCCATCCATGTAATTCTCAGTATCCTTCTGTAGAACCCTATTTCTGTTGCCTCCATAGCAGCTTGTCATTCTTTTCTTTGTTTCCAATAAAATTTTCCTGTTTCTTAATACTTTGTTTAGCTTTCGAAAGGCATCTTTCACTGTTCCAATGCTCATTCAGATTTTGGTGTTGCATTTTCCATCCTGTATTAAAATACTTCCTAGATATTTTAATTTTTCTACTTGCTGAATTTTGGTCTCCAATTCATAGTTTGTATCTGGAATTGTTTCTTTTGCCAATGACCATACATTCTATCTTCTTAAAATTCATGGTTAGTCTGTTCTTCTCCCTTTCCTTTACTACCTTCTGGCAGAGTTCCTGTAGTTTACCTTCTATATCTGCTTTTAAAACTTCTTCCTTTAACATGACAATATAAAGCTTCACTTTCCAAATTGAATGCTGGAGAAAATAACCCTTTGTCTGAGAAGTTTTGCCTCGTCCTCCATCTTCACTAGTCTTCACCAGAATTATCAAGTGTTTCAGTCAAAAGAATATGTTCTTAGTCCCAGAACATTGAGAAATAAGGGAAATACCAATTCAAATGTTTCTGAATCAAAACCCCTCAGAATTTTATTGTCTTTATATTGGGTAATGCTGTTAATTATGTTATTAATCAACAATAATGTAATTACATATAGGACTATTTTTATATACTCATTAAAAATTTAATATTACCTTCCAAACAACCTAATACAACAGTCCTCACCTCTTAATCATAGAAAATATGTTCCACGACCCCCCCCCCCACCAGTGGATACTTGAAATGACAGTGCCAAACCCTATATATGCTATGTTTTTCCTATGCATATGTGTTCAAGTTTAATTTATAAATTTGGTATAAGAAGATATTATTAACCTTTAACATTCTGGAGGTGATTTTGGCTGCAAAGAAAAAATTTTATCCTGCCACTGCAAGTGACTCAGATGAATAAATGATAGACAATTGAATTTTGGAGTGTGTTGTCATATGGGAACAGAAAATGACCATGATTGAAATTAAGTAGAGAAGTACTGAAAAACAATGCAGTGGAAAGAAAAGTAGTGAATAATGCAGAGTGTTAACAGTTAATAACAATAGCTAATAATGAAACAGAATAATTCTAACATATACTATAATTGTCATACTTCAAGATCAATCCTGGTTCATGACAAACAGCAACAAATGTAACCTTTCATTGTGGTCGGCCTGGGGTGGATCCTGGTTTGATCAATGAAGTGATCTCTTCACTCCTGACCTGTCTTACCCCATGTTGTGATTGATTTGATTATAAGGAGGCCAAGATCAATTTGTTGCAGATATCTTCATGTTGGGCCAGTCCAAATTGTTTGCTGAAAACTAAGTATGTCCACTATTTCGGCATAAATTTTCTATATTGAAGTTTAAAATGAATTTTTTACAACGAAAAAACATTCTTGAAGATTTCATTTTAGCTTTAATTGAAAGTTTAATAATTAAATTTACGATTTCTATTAATTAAACAATTCTGGTGTATTTCAGATAGAAACTATATACATTTGATTGTCAAATTTAATTTCAAATTTTTAAATTTTCTTAAAAACGGCCATTTTCTTAATTTTTAGAAATTTGTAAACAAACACAAATTTATCGATTTTTTAAAATATTTAAAAAAAATTCTGACACGTTATTTTAGTAAAATTAAAAATTTTAAAGTTAAAGTAATCTGATTTCAAAGAAATCTTTGTTACTTATATAGCAAAAAAATAATATACAACCAATTATTAACGAAAGCAGTCCTGTTCAGTTGTTCGATCTTACTGATAATGATTGATTGACGAGCCGATGACAGCTACTACTGATGACCATAAATGACATAATTTTTAAGTCTGAGTTTTTAAAAAAAATTATTCTGTTTGAGTATGACACACACTAATGGAAATACAATACATAAAATAAAATTATTTAGTGAAATAGTAAATGAAAAAAGAAAAATTACTTTAAAATTTAAAGTTTACACTTTTAAAACTGAACGGAAAATACAATCTGTTAATAAACGAAATGTTTTGAAAAGGCCACGTAAAGGGACAAAACCATTAGATCACGTGACCTTGCTATAATAATGGCAATTTCTGTATATCATACATGGAAATAAGGAATGTATTAAGTAAAAAAAATACAACATAAAAAATTATTTTTAAAAAAAAGTAGCGCAACTAAATTTATTAAACTTAGCAATTTTGGATTCGTAAATTTTTTTTCTACTTAATTAGTACATAATATCGAGGAACCCTCCTAATACAGAGCTTTACACGATTTAAAACTATTATAAATTATTATAATTAAAATTTCTTAAAAAACGAAAAAATTCTTGTAAAAATTAATTATTCATCAGAAAAAAATTATTTCTTCAGACAATAATGTCCTTAATATTACTTATTTACAAAAGCAATTAAAAGCTTTTCTAATTAAGTAATATCATAGTTTTATTGGATTCATTATTTTTCAATTCAGAGCAGATTTTCAGTTAAATAGCTCAAATTTGTGAAAAAAAAAGTAGATTATTTACCATCTTCAAAGACTCCTACTTTTAACAAAAAAAAAAAAAAAAATTCAGGAACCAAAAGGTTTTGGGCGAAATTTCATTAAATTAAGTAAATGGGGGTAACATATTTTAAAAAAATATAATTTTTACCAAAAAAAAATATTTCAAAAATAATTTCATTGATTTGTGAATAAGTCCTGAAAATTTCATTAAGATTGGACAATTATTTTATTTTTACAAGAATTTCCAAATCAATATGTTTTCAACGGTAAAAAAAACGCAAAAAAAAAAAAAACAATGTTATTTTAAACGTCGCCGCGATGACGTAAACAAAGACGATTTTAACCAAAATTTCGAACGTGTTAGAAAATATTAAAAAATTTCAAAAAATAATTAAAAAATACTTTTTTCTTTCATCTAAATAATAACATAAGCATTTTGACGATATTACTTTATTTTAGTTAAGTTTGTGGCATTTTTCATTTACGCTATGCTGTTTTTCCGCGAAAACAGTGGACATGCTTACTGAAAACTGTCAACACAAACTGAGCATTGCTTTTAGATGATCACCTGGTCTATTGTATAATTCACTGGTAACGATTTTATTATCAGTCTATCGTTCTTTATATTTTTTAACCCTTTTCATGCTAAGTTATTCATCATTATCTCTTTTTTGTTGATATTTCACATCGCCATTAATATTATTAATTACCAACAACCCAAATAGTGTTACATAATAAAAGTTATGTGATAAACAGAAGATTCATTCTTACCATAGATCTTATTAGGCACCATAAGAGATTAACAACAATTTTTCTTTTTTTTATTAAGACAAGAGCTTTTGCTTTTTTACTTAAAGATAATGGCTTCTCTTTTGTATGTTAAAATTGCCATCATCAGTAATTAAATAAAATTTATGAATTGTTTCTTCATAGGTTTGGCCCCAAGTGATTCAAACAACATAAAACAAAACTCCAGATCAGAGGCTATACGTACATGCACACACACACACACACACACACACACAAAATCCTATATATATATATATATATATATTTGGGTAGCAACCTTTCTGTCATACATCTTTCATTAAATACAGCAGACAAAGAAGATTTAATTAATTTTTTATTAAGTTTTTCCAGCATCCTTATGTTTTTCCATTAGGGAGTACAAAAATTACCTTAATTTTCATTGTCCGAAGCAATTTTGGCCACTTCTGTTATTAGTATTTCCTCATGTTTTGACTTATATAAAAAACATATAAAAAGATTGTACTTCATCAAAAACAAAAAAAATTTCTTAATTCAACCAACGCTATACTGGAGGAGGAGGATATCACTTATAAGGCATGTTGTCTTTGCAGGTCAACATTAAAGAATAGACCATAAATAATAAACAAATAAAATAAAAAGTTCACAAACTTATCTTCCTGACTTCAGGTTTTGCAGATTTAATCTGTTCATTAGGAGATTAGATAATTCAATTTCATTTCACTTGAATTTTCTAAAGATATGCAGATGACAGTGTTGATAGCAGACACAAAGGAAACTACAAGAACTCCTACAGAAGATAGTGGAGGAAAGTGAGAAGAAAGGACTAACCATCAATTGCAAGAAAACTGAATGCATGGTTGTTAGCAAAAGGGACAGCCCAACATGCAAATTACCAATTGGAGATACCGAAATCAGAGGCAACAATTTAGATATCTTGGACGTGTATTAACAGAAGATGGAAAGTTCAACACAGAAATCTGAAGGCTCATTAGAATAGTGAAAGATGCCTTCCAAAAGCTGCGCAAAATATTAATAAACAGAAAAATATCATTAGATAAAAAGAAAAGAATACTGAACTGCTATGTAGCACCAGTTCTCCTATATGGCAGTGGATGCTGAACAATGTCCTCACAGATGAAGAATAGAGAAAGTATCAGAAATGTGGTTCTACAGAAGAATGTTGAGAACACCATAGATGGAACATGTGAGTAATGACAAAATTCTACAGACAATGGCTACAAAAAGGAAACTTAACCTTAACATCAGGAAGAGACAGTTGAAATTTTACTGGGGCACATAATGAGGAAAGTGGGCTTTGTAAATTTGATACTCACAGGACAGATTGAAAGCAATTGGAGGAAAGCAACATACAACCTTCTTGATAAGCTGGAACAAAAGGATGGTAGAACAGAGTTTGGGAGAAATGACAAAAAGACAAAAGCTATTGAGAGCTACAAAGGGCAAGAACTTGTAGAGAGCCATTATTGTCAACATCCTAAAGGGACACAGCACATAAAAAAAATGTCATATACAGTGTGAGCCAAAAGTAGGCTTCCACTTAAAAAACATTTTATGACATTTATATTTATTTGTTACAATCATATTTGTTCAAAAGTGTTTGTGTACATTTAGTTAACACTTACATTTTTTTAGCACAGTTTCATCCCTTAAGTGCTCAAAATGTCCTTCTCCAACATTGCAACATTCCTCAAACCTCTCCAGAACACTATGGCACACAAAACCCAGTCTGCATGAATTTCAATAAATACTTTTGAAATGTACTCTTTTAATTCATCCACTGGGTGGGGATTTCTCTCATAATCCTTGTTCTTTACTACACCCCCAAAAAATAAATCCTTTGAACCTGATGGCCATTCAATGCTACCCCTTCTGAACCAACGCTGTGGAAAAGTTTGGTTTACTGCCAAAGGATAATGAGAAGGTGCTCCATCTTGCTGAAAGAACAGTTCAGTGAAGTTAGCTCTGGTTCTGAGCTGTAGAAATGTGAAACTAATAGCAAAACAAATGTAAGCTTACTTTTGGCCCACTCTGTATAATATTTGTAAAAAGCATGTTTCTTAAAATAGGCAAATATTTTTTTGGTGTTTGTCCTATAGATTTTGGCAATCCTTGTGAATAATAATGTATGTCTTTTTTTTTAATGCTTGATAAAAACTTCTTACATGCTTATTGTTTGATCTTATTGAATCCTCTTTTTTTTCATCCAGGTAATGCTTACTATAAATATTAGCCCTGAACTAGGTGAAAGCCTTTTGGAAATCACAGGCCAACGAATAAAATATTTCATTGACAGACAGATCCCTTCCAGAACATTGGAAATCTATTCTACCATGACCACAGCTATATCAGGATGGCTAAAGAAACAGGTAATAAATAGATG